TTTTGACATTTTTTTAAATGTAGGTGTACAAAAAATCGGATTTAGAAAAAAAATTACGAACGAGAAAAGGCGATAAAATTTCTCATTTCCTCAGAGTCTAGTTATTTCTAATTTTGCGTCGCGTCTTTCAGTGATAGAGGAGACAGCACCTTTAATTAGTCGAGTTGAGAGAGAAACCAAACACGCAATTTGGCATTTTGGCTGAGAGAGAAATGATGATGAGGACTTGAGATGAAAAAGAAAAACCCTTGGCGTGGCGGTCGGCATGTATCACACATTAGCGCCTACAAGAGTGCATGAATACTTCACGCATTGCATCAAACACAGTGCGGTCACTGCGGTCAGCGTGAAACGCATAGCGCCTACAAGAATGCATGAATACTTCACGCATTGCGCCAAACACAGACATAGAACACAGAGCTGTCTGCGCGGCGCCAGAAGTTAAAATCATTTTTATCATACCTTTTACATATCGCGCAGCTTTTTTCAAACAATGTGAAAAGGAATGGGAAAAATCTGTCATTTACTGAACGCCTTTTTCTAAGGATGGCGCTTCAGATTATGAAAATATTGAATGTAAAATAACATTTCAAGTGGCTCTGACAAGAATGTACAAGTATATAACGCCCGAAAATGGGGATGAATCAAGGGCATGGCGAAGGAAAGTTGAAGCACTTCAGTGGGAACACATTTTGAATGGATTGACCGACTGAACCTTATATACCTAACTCGGTTCTTTTCTGTTAAACTCAATCAATACGAAACAATGTTTTCAATAAATTGACGTGTCAACGACAATGTTGTTATGAATCTCCCCAGAATGTCGAAGCGAGATATTTATCGTGTGCCAAAATCAAGCGAAAACAAAAACCACTGCGTAAGGAACAAGGAATATAATATGATGAGGTATTGAGAGCTAGATGGGCTGAATAATTGCTGTTTAAGGTTTTAAAACTTCACCCGATAACTTGTTACTTAATTGATCGACGGGCACGTGATTTAAAGCAAAAAGTCATGCATTTTTGCCACATCTCCGAGAAAATTCACGGCAAATAGCAAAAAAAAAGTGCGATCGCTCTGAAGTAACGATTAAATTATCAGATGAAACTTTGCAATGTTGCAATGCAGCTAACAATAAGTCCGTCTAGCTAGCGCACGCCTTATTCATACCTCCAAAAAAGGTGCAAAGCACCTAACGCAGCCTCCAGATAATATCTCGATCGACCGGCTAGAAAAACTGAGATCATAACGCCTTGATGCAACTATTCGCGCTCAATGGATGTCCGTATTGCATAAACACAAAATTGCAGGCGCTTCGACAACTCGTGTTCACGCAGGGCAAAGCAATCTTGTCCAAGCCTTGTGAGTTTCGAACACTGACTGTCATCTTACGAGCTCTATCAATACGAAAACAAACTCAACCCCTCACAAAACTTTTCTTAAATGTATTAAATTATCTTTTCCTCTCGAAATTATGAAAATTTGGTGCTTCGACTCCGTTCGACGAGAATAGCTTACTGTTAGATGAATATTTGGATCGCATTTGTCAAAGAGGAACCAGCGTGATCACAGTGTTGTAAAAATGGTGTTTCTTCATAATTTCCTAGAACATATCCCAGAATAGCAAATAGTCTTTTCTTTCACGAAAAAAATGTTTGATATTAAAGAAAAATAATCTTGTAAATTTGAATACTGTACATGTATTTAGTATTTTTAAAAGAACAGAAGAAGTTGCACGATTATGAAATACCTTTTTTTCAGCCTCCGTAGACAGACGCTCTTCAAGGCCTAGAAAAAAACAACTTAATCGGCCCGAAACATTAACAGAGAAACAACTTAAAACGGGACTAAAGGCCGCAAATAATATAATAATATAATAATATATAATTGTATAATATTTGCGGCCTTAGTCCCGTTTTAAGTTGTTTCCCTGTCAAGGCCTAGATATACACGGAGATTAATCGCCGCGATTGAAATACGGAAGCCAATGGAGAGCCATGATTTCGATCCATTGACGTCGATATATCGAATCTGTGTGTCAACCGTGTGTATCTAGGAATTCACCTCGCGAACGGCTGCATGTTTTGGATCAGAAAACCTATAGCCGATCGAAAAATGAATTCATCTTCCCCCTTTCGTGGGAAACTTTTCTTTAAGATTTTCTTCTCTTTTCTTCACTCCTCTGTGGAGACATACGCAGTAAAGCCCCCCTCCCCCTTCCAAGACCTAGAAAATTTATCGACGGCGCGGCGTAAGTCCGCAATCACATATCTCGTTTGCGGTGTCCGAAAGTCTTCGCCGTTAAGTATGTTATTTTTTTAAAGGAGAACAAATTCACATCATTCCTTGAAGTTTAAGCAGAATTTTCTTCGCACAGAGAAGAAAAATCACGGCCGTTTAAAGAATTGCCGTTGAGTAGTTTTCTGTTTAAAAAATAAAGTATGACAGGAAGTCTGCGCGACGCGACGACGCAAACCGAGTTATGTAATTGCCGACTTACACCGTTGTTATCTTCTTTTTATTTCTATTATTCACAAACACTGTATTTGATTGTAATAGAATGTATTGATTTTGTTACGTTTTTCCTCCTTACTTTCCAGAAAAATTTTGCCTCCTTTTTCATTCGCCTGAACCAACGCGGCACCTGCAGATTCGGCATCGCATGTATGCTTACGGAATTTTGAATTTTTCGCGCTTATTTGCAACTACCGGCAAACCAATGGCCATCGGGCTACGATTAGTTTGCCGGTTAGCCGTATTTGGCGCTAGGTCATGGACCAAGAGAATAAATAAGGACCCCCAACTCCGGTTAGCGCTGACATCAGCGCTCCCTGGCAGAGGGTGTAGTGAACTAAACCGATGATTGGGTCTTCCTGTTTATATTTCCATGCACCACCTATTAGGCTTATCACTCAGTAGTGCTCATAGAAGTTTCTAGATCCTCGTATCCTCGTGGTCGCCCTGCAGTTTTGAAGAGTTTAGTGTGAAAAGTTTCCCATTTTCATTTCAATCTTCGTCAGTCTTCGTGTACATAAACTGGTATTAATGTGAAGTGTTATTTCTAACCGTTTTACTCAGCAGCAACTGCTGTTGAGAAAGCCAAAGGAAGTGTGTATGTAGTGTGCAGCAGGAATCAGGATTGTACTTTTAGCCGAAGGCGCCTCTCTGTTAAGTGAAATCTTTTTAGTGAGAAATAGTGTTGTACTGATAAAAATCAACCGAGTGTCACAAAATCAAAGATACTTGACTTCAAGCATTACCTTTAATTTGATTATTAGCAAGTCTCTTTGATTCTGCGTCAGAAGTTGACTGAATCATCTTTGCTCGTGTTTTGATAAGATACTTCAAATCAAAGTCTTTCGCATTGACATCTGCAGAAGGTATGTATCTATACAATTTCATTAGTTTGCGAAAGTAAAATGTATTAAAGTATCTACACAAATAAATAAATCATAGATAAACAAAGAACATTGCATGGAATAACATACTATAGAGGCATGGACCAATAGAATAAATAAGGACTCCCAACTCCCTATGCTACCCTGTGTTAAAAACCGTTAACGCGCGCTCGCAGCGAACCTGGCAGAGGGTGCGGTGAACTAACGCCGCAGCGGTCCACGATCGTACCTCTATAGTATGTTATTCCATGCAATGTTCTTTGTTTATCTATGATTTATTTATTTGTGTAGATACTTTAATACATTTTACTTTCGCAAACTAATGAAATTGTATAGATACATACCTTCGGCAGAGGTCAATGCGAAAGACTTTGATTTGAAGTATCTTATCAAAACACGAGCAAAGATGATTCAGTCAACTTCTGACGCAGAATCAAAGAGACTTGCTAATAATCAAATTAAAGGTAATGCTTGAAGTCAAGTATCTTTGATTTTGTGACACTCAGTTGATTTTTATCAGTACACCACTATTTCTCACTAAAAAGATTTCACTTAACAGAGAGGCGCCTTCGGCTAAAAGTACAATCCTGATTCCTGATGCACACTACATACACACTTCCTTTGGCTTTCTCAACAGCAGTTGCTGCTGAGTAAAACGGTTAGAAATAACACTTCACGTTAATACCAGTTTATGTACACGAAGACTGACGAAGATTGAAATGAAAATGGGAAACTTTTCACACTAAACTCTTCAAAACTGCAGGGCGACCACGAGGATACGAGGATCTAGAAACTTCTATCATAGAATAATAAAGCTAACGCCTATAGAAGAGTCACTCGCGTAAGTGGCCGTTGTGACTCTCGCCTGCTGTGTCCAGGTTTGGTTAGGTCCCGTTGCCCTATACTTTTCTGAACCCGCCAGCTCTTTGCAAGGTTGTCAAATGTAATAGTAGGGCCCAGCAAATTGCAGGGTTGCGAAATGTAGTCAGTGGTGCCAACGAAGAGTCTAATGTTTTGTAAGTGTAAAAGTCATCGTCACAGAGTAAAAGAGTTTGAGTATCAAAATTAATGTAACGGAAACGATTTCCACAGCCTCGTCGTGCTCATGCTGGCCAGATGACTGATAAAATCAGATGTGATCAGCTACAGTTAGAGTGTTACAGTTGGCTATCGCCACCATTTTCATTCTGAATGTAAACAATACCCGCCAGCTCCAGCTCAAGAGCTCCAGGTCCCTGTTCTTCTTCTTCGTCATGAAATCTGCGAGAGTGACTCTTCTATAGGCGTAGCCTTATTATTCTATGCTTCTATGAGCACTACTGAGTGATAAGCCTAAATAGGTGGTGCATGGAAATATAAACAGGAAGACCCAATCATCGGTTTAGTTCACTACACCCTCTGCCAGGGAGCGCTGATGTCAGCGCTAACCGGAGTTGGGGGTCCTTATTTATTCTCTTGGTCCATGATAGAGGTACGATCGTGGACCGCTGTGGCGTTAGTTCACCGCACCCTCTGCCAGGTTCGCTGCGAGCGCGCGTTAACGGTTTTTAACACAGGTTAGCATAGGGAGTTGGGAGTCCTTATTTATTCTCTTGGTCCATGGCTAGGTGCTGATGCATTGTTTTGTTTACCCTCAATCTTATCACTTATTTGGTTATCCCGTTATCAATAGCAATGTTGAATTTAGAATTTAGTTTAGCAAGGGAAATACTATAATTTTCAGGTCCAAGGTATGCATGTATTTTTTTTTTTCACTCATATTCTTTGCCAAGATCGGAGTATTTCGACTGCATCGCCAATATCTTTTGTGGATGTCTAATTTATTGAGCATTTGCTCGCCCTCAGATGCGAGTGTTTATGTCGTTATCAGGATTGTCAACTTTTCCAGCTTATTAACCGTCCCTCCATCCCTCTTTTATAAGAATAATGCTTATTACTTAGTATATAGTGTTCATAATAGAAAGGAAACAGTGGTGGTTGCTCGATCATTTGTACATTTACGGGTCTTTATGTATGTGTCTTATCTCTGTTCTTCACACTCAATCTGATTTTTACCAAGTGGGATCAAAGCTAAGTTCACATCCTCTTATTTATTCTTCTTGCTATTTTCCATCATTAAGCCTATGGAAATGGTTCTATTGCATTTCTTAATCAGTGTGGAAGGGACCTCGACCATAAAATGTTTAAAGTTCAAATACTTAACTCTTGCATGTTAAGTCGTAATGTTGGGAGGTGTTCTCAGATTTCAGAAACATACTATTTGTGACATTCTCTCTGAGTTAGTGAGGTTCAATTTTTGGGCACCCAATTTAACTTATTGGAAATGCTGTCAAAGAGAAGTGAAATCTTTGCAAATTTAAGTCTGGTAAATCATCACTTCTGTGTAAATATCTATTTTGTAAACAATTGATGTTAGCTTCTTATCACACAAATTGTCTCGACTGAACTATTGAATTTTAGTAATCTCTTCCATATTTAATCAAATGTTCATTTTTTTTCCAGCTCCAAGTGTAAACCAAACATTCTGAATGACATCTGTGAAACGATGAGTCCAAGAGTGCTCCTGTCCAAGACTTTTAATTTGCGAAAAAATGTCTTCAATTCGTTGGGACGATTCTACTCTTCAGATACCACAACATTAAGTAACAGTCTAAGAGCAGAAGAGCTGAAGAGTAAAGGCCTCCTACGTGTAAGTGGACCAGATGTCAACACGTTTCTGCAAGGATTGATTACCAATGACATCAATCATCTAGGAAGTGGCAAGAACAGTATTTATGCAGCCTTTTTAAATATCAAAGGAAGAATTATTTACGAAACAATAATTTACAAGACTAAAGAGGAAAATTCATTTTTCATAGAATGTGATAGTCGCGGTATACCAGAGTTAGAAAAACACCTGAAAGTTTTCAAAGTTCGAAAGAAAATAGATATCACAAATATCAGTGATGAACTGAAGATTTGGGTGATTTTTGATGGAGAAAATTTATCTGAAGCCAGTACCTCTGTCAAAGATGTGTCCAATTTAGAGAAATCGCTGCCTAAAAATTTAAACTTACAGACATCTGACGTGTACAAAGATCCCAGGCTATCAGATTTAGGTGTTCGTATACTTGTTCCATCATCATCTAATTTTGTGGCTTCTTTAAAGAATTGTAATATTGCATCAAGTTCGGATATTAGTTTTCGTCAGTTTCGCTACAGATTAGGAATAGGAGAGGGTGCTGATGAATTGCCCCCTGGAAAATGTTTCCCTCATGAAACTAATTGCGATTATCTGCATGGAATAAGTTTTCACAAAGGGTGCTATATAGGACAGGAGGTAACATCTCGGACTCAGCACACCGGAGTCGTTAGAAAACGTCTTATGCCATTAGAATTCATGGAAGGTGTTGGTGATAGATATCCTTTTGATTCGCCTATCACTGATCCTGATAAAAACTCGGTGATTGGTAAAATACGAGGAGTTGAATCTCCGTATGGAATAGCTTTATTACGAATATCAGAAACATTAGAGGCAAAAAGATTAGAGATAAATGGAATACCAGTACGTTCAAGTAGACCTAATTGGTGGCCAAAGGAAGTTCCAAAAGAGAAATTGAATTTAGAGTGATTTTAGATGTTTGTAGCCTTGAAAATAAATTTCAAATTATTTAACTATAATTTCTTGCCATTATTGAAGACATCTTTGATAGGAGAGTGTATTACAAAAATTGAAGTTTAGAGAGAGCACTGATCTTGACTTTAGCTATGATAAATGTTAGTAACAACATTTTTAGCTTGACTTTTTTAGGAGGATAACGAACCAAAGTTGTTCTGTACTTTGAATGAATATCAGCTTTAGATACCTTTGTTATCAAAATGGAATTTGAAAATTTGTCTGAAATGTGACTTGTGATTTGAAACTTTTTTAGTCAGTTTTGTTCTTGAAAAATAAATTTGTTACTGTTTTATAAGAAAGTTGATTTCTTTCCCCATCTAGTACTTGCTTCCTCTTAATTATTTTTGCTTGTGGTGTTGCAAATTTTAATTTTCAAAACCCTAAGAGTTTATCGTGACATCCAATCAACATCCATTTAACTGATTTGCTCTGTGTTGTTTCCAGGAAACAGTGCTGGATTCAGGGATAGCTTGATGTCCGGGAGTTTGAGCTCCCCAGGGATATTTTTTATGAAATTTGAGTAGATTTGTGAAATATTTGAGTTTATACAATTGACAAATTTTCACCTTTGGGATGTAAGATATTAGGAAAAAATAGAAAACCAGAAAAAGGCTGTAGCACAGTTAGATCTTAGGCATTGCAGTAAATGTTCAGATCTGCTGCATGCACTCTCTTTCTCTCCCCCCCCCTCTCTCTCTCTCTTTCTGTTTTTCTTATTTCTTCATGCCGCCATGCTCTTACCCCTCTAGATCTGCCATTGCCATGACATGACTTATGACAAACATTGACAATTCTTACAGTATCTTCCTTTTTTTCTAATTTTGGTTCATATTTTGTCAATTTTGAAATTTAGATCGGGTTCATATAAAAAGATATTAAGGTTAGGTGGTTTGCAAATTAGGTCGTCATGTTATTTTAAGTACTTACTTAAAACCTGACTGGATAACCAAGTCACATGCATATAGTAAGTCTCCCCCCTCACACGAGGATTATAAGCTAAAGATACAAAATAGAGCAGGTCAATTATTACAGAAGTTTATTGTAAAAATGTACATGTATAGGTTTACAGGCAAAAAAAAAGGTAATAAAAATTGCAACGATTAAAACCCAGTTAAAAATAAGCCTTGTAACTTAGGCTCGGAAGACTTATTCACTGCTTAATCCAAGTTTTTATAAAAACGCACAAAATAGTACAAAGGTAAGTACATTGTAACATACAAAATTATATTGGTATACAAAAAAATTTTTATTTTGATGAGTTGGCTCAAAAGCCAGGTAGCTTTTTTTAATTTCTGCCTATGACACCTTTGGCTTAAAATTAAGGGCTCTGAAATTTCTCATTAATTGGACTGGGGCTATCAAGATTTACATAATATGTGCTTTTTGCTGGCTAAAAATAGCATAATTAAAGAGGACTTGACCACCATGCAGATTTCGTAGCACTTAAGCCCTTCTTCAATTGAAAAATAACTTTTCAATTTTGAAGAAATTGTGCTTCATGAGTTTCTAAGAGTACAGGGGATTTCCTGCTTACCATAAAATAGACACAACAAAAATTAGCCTCACTGCATTTCGAATCGCCAACTTAATTTTTTTCTTGGTTCTCTTATTTTGACAGAAGACAAAACAACATAACGCCTCTAAACCTCCTAGTGGCAGAGCCTATTTATATACCTCTAAAAAAATAAGGAGGAAAATATATAGATTACATAAATGGCATTTTTGAGTAAAAATTATCGTTTTTAACTTTTTTATGGGTGAAAAATGTAGGAGGCTAATACAAGAGGGAAAAAATCCAGGCTTCATAGCTATACTTTTACGTTCAAAAATGTTAAAATTTGCAGACAAATGTAGATTATTTAGAATAAAAGCTTTATTAGTTACAATCATGATGCAAGTTAGACCAATGATTCTGTGTTCAGCCTGTATGAGTTTTTTTGGTACAGCTCTAATTAGAAGGTTTCTTTGAATCTCTCCTTTTTTTTTAAACATTAAACTCACAAAACTTCAAATTATGATGTCACCTTCTTTCCAGATAAAAAATATAAATGTAAGAGGAATGAAGGAGAGTCTTATGTAATTAAGCTACTTATGGCTCAGTTAGTCCATTTAATCAATTACTCTCTTGTAGAATTTTAGGAGATCCTGGTTTTAGACTTAACTGTAGAGCTCATTAGGTCTAGAATCAAGTCTCAAACTCAGGAAGGGCTCTTAAAGAGGTCATTAAAAGAGCACCACATTCATAAGAAAGCCCACCAACATTTTCACTAAACATGAAATTAAGGGTGAATATATTAGCAGGATTGTCAACCTTGAGAGAATTTTTTGGGGAAAAGGTAGATTTTGGACAAAATTAATGGCACTGACATTAATTCAAAATCACATCTAAAGATATTGATCATAAATAACTATTTATACTAAAAATCCCATATATTTGTTGTAACTCAATGTCGTTAATCTCTTTCTCTGTCTCTCTAGTCCATCTAATTACAGTGATGCAATTATGAATGTGCGGCTACTTATTGTGACGATGCAAATTTTCATAAATGAAATAGGTACAAGAGAATGGATGCTAAAAATTTTACATTACAATTCATTTACATGGGAAGTTGATCATTTTAGTTTTGGTAACTTCACAAGAAGATTACCTGTGGAAAAAGATGATTTGAAAAGAAAATGTAAACGTCCAGTTGATTGAAATTAGCGACGTAACAAAATTTATCCATGCTACATTTTATTGTGTCAGTGAGAAAGAAGGGCACTGAGTATAATTTTCGGATGACTGACGGAGTAATGCTGAAATTATAGCAAGGCTGAAATTACAAATTTATGCCATTTTAAAATTATAAGTGGGGTCTGGAAGGGGAGCACCAAATTCTGTCAATTTTTAGAAATCTTTGAAGTACTTTAGCATCACAATTCATTTCAATTCGTCATGTTTCTAATTTTATTCCCCTCAGGAACTCCATAACAACTCTAGAATTGGACATTTACTGTACTCCCATTACAGTTACTCCCCAAAGGAGCATACCTCCTGTAATAATATGAAAAAAGAGAGCAGAAAGAAAATAAACAGTGCTCAACTTAAAGACATCTGCATATTACAGCAAAGTAATGAGCACTTCATAATTTGACCAGGATGTTAAACAGAAAAATAATCCAGTAAAATTCTTAAAAGCACATCTGAGAGCTGTCTACAGTTCTTAAAAAAGCTGAACTATTGCAAGAACATTATGGGATTGAAAGTAGGTCTGTCTAATGACTGATTTCAAACCAAGTGTAATACCAAAGTTGACCTGAAAACCTTCCTGTGCTATCCGCACATGAAAAATTTCAACAAAAAAATTATTCAAAATTAAAATTATATTGAAGAATGTTGAGAATGAAGGCATTAAAAATTACATATTTTGAAACAAGAGAATTTCAAGTTAAGCTTGTTTCTGAACATATCTGCAAGCGAAGAATGAACATAAAAACCAGTAATTAATTAGTACTGTTAGGGGTAACTTAACGTTTTTCAACTAAATACATACATATTACTATAAAAATTGAAGGAATGTTACATAATACCTTCATCAATATATAATAAAATACACGGTGCATTACATGAGATCCCTTTGGAATATTCCTCTTGGTTGAGTTCAAACTTCAGCGCATAATGTAGTCGGAGAAAGCTCTTTATCTGAGGAAGATTCTAAACGTCATTTTCGTCTAATTAACCAGAGGGGTATCCGTAAGGATCTTGCATATTTCTGGTGAAAGTAGAAAATTGCCTATCTCAATGGCGCTGTTGCAAATTTACCGTCATACTTCATTTTTTTTTTAAACAAAAAGGAAGTACAGTCGGTCTTCATAAATTTCTACAGTTTTTTTTTCATGATAAGGAGCGGACTCTGTGGAAAAATAAATTCCACTGGTGGTAAATTTTTTCCTCAATCCCTTTGTTTCCTTAAAAAAGGGCTCATGATTTGTACTTAAAACTAAAATCAAGGACTCTTCAAGGAGATGTAAATAGTTACTTAACTATATCAATGTATTAATGGCTCTTTTCTAGGATTTCAAGGGACTTCCAAGGGTTTAAACAAATTTTAAAGGTCTTGAATTATGACTCAGAATCAGAAATGTTTGCTTCCTTCACCTCTTGGCTATCTGTGTGACAAATCAAATGAATGGATACAGAAGATGCTATTCTGTAATAAAGACGTTTCTATCAGAAGAAAGAAAAAAAACGTTCTTTGGAACAGTTATTGCCATGTTTTAAACAGCATAAAATTCATGAACTTTGTCAGTCGAAGTTGGAGGTTATGTTAAGAAAACTTGCGGTTGACCCGATCACCAAAATTTGACCTGGGAATTTTTTTTCCCCGAGGCTGTTTTATCACAATTCGAAAAAAGTACATGATGAATTCTTTTCTCATCTATTTATTGTTTTTCTTGTTCACTCTGTTTCAGGTTGTATTCTGTGCCCCTAGACGTTCTACTCTGTCCCTTGCTAAATCCTCGACCACATATCATTCAGTTGGCAAAAGATTTAAATTTGGAGGCACATTTGGTGAAAAACCTCCTCCAAACACCGAATTTCTAAGATCCCTGACCCTCTTATACGGCTTGCAACAATTTCATCCTCTAACCGATAAAGAATAGTAGACTATGGCGTTTAACAAACTGAATGTTCGAAGGGTGAAGTTCTTCAAACATATGACAAAATTCTTTGACAAATTCAATACAGAAGCGAATACAGTTATATATGTCCAACCAACGGAAGATATTCTTGTCAATACTCCTCAAAAATTTGAAAAGACCAGAGAGAATCCTGATCCTATTAATTTAGGCAGAGATAAGGACTTTTTTGTTCCTAAAGGATCGATTGGTGACACTATCACGCCAGCAAGAAAAAAATTATGCAAAAGTGTATCTACTACTGGCAATGGATCTACTGGTAGCAATGGATTTTTGAATTCTGAACATGATTGCTTCAAGTATGTCGATGAAAAAGGGGTCCGCTTCATTGTAAAATTCGTCGACGATAATGATAAGAACAAAAAAATGCCCTCTGTTCCTGAAGCAGTCATTTGTAACCTAAGGATTCTAAAAAATGGAGAAATTGAAATAACCGTTCAAAGGAATGATGTTTTAAGCAGCTTCCTTGCTGAAAGAGGGATTGATTTTGGCAGACTCTTTAATGATGGACCTGCCCCTGGGTTTTCCAGTCCGCAGTTGTGCAAGATTGTTTGCAAACTTTTGATAAAAATTGTGATACCGATGTTGATACCAGCTGGCGTCAGCGACGTCTAAAACAGCACTACATAATATAACATGTAGGTCAAATTAAGATGTCAAGAATCCTGTTAAGACACCGACAAAATAGCCATGATTGAGAAACCCATTTTTCTAGTTGCACCATCAATATGCTATATAAGATAAATTTCAGTGCTTATTATAAATAATCAATTTGACTAGAGACATATATACATGTTTTTACAATGCTGGTTAAGAGTAAAACTAAAAACAATATGTACATGAATTAGAGGTGGCGATTAAAAGTTTCGGAATGCATTTTTAAGAATTCACGTCAGATATGATGGCAGCTGTAAACTTTCCATTCGCAAGCGACTACATTGCAGTCCTCCCGTAACCATATAGGGTTGATCAAGTGCAACAACGACACTAGGCTGCCATTGTGCACAGATACTGAAAACCAATACTTTCTCCTGAGGATATACTGATGAATTCTTCTCCTGAAAGTGCCAATTTATCTGATAACTCAGCCAAAACAAAGAATGAACAAGAATCTTCATTATTTTTGTGAATGAAATAGCATTTCTTTAAAATACACAGTGATGTTTCTCCTGGCATCCAGAATATTTCAGTTCGAAAATGGTACGTTTAAAATTTGTAGGTTCATTGATCATCTAATTTGAAGAGGTTTTAGCTTTTCATGGTTATCTGTAGTATATATATCATTATTCTAGAATAAATTTGACATTTTAAAAAAAGAGAGAAAAAAGTTTGATTGCGTATAAAATGCTTCTAAAACACATTGGCTAATTATCTTACAGATACACTAAGTTGAAAGTTAAATAAGAGGTGACATATTGATCCATCCAGTAATTAATTCATTCAAAAGCAAAAATAAATTAAGAAAATATGAAAATGAAATTTTCTGTTAGGCTCCAGCTCAAAAATTACCCTTATGTTTTGAAAGTTTTTCAGAACAACTAGATCATAAAAAGTTGATAAAAGTAAAACCACAGCTTGGTATGAATAAATAATTGATATGATATCCTTTGTCCTTGCAGATAAAAATACACATATTTTCAATATGGGCATAGAATAGATATTGAGAGCTAGTCTTTGAAAAAAATTATTTTCAAATAAAGTGAATTAAAATCTAACAATCATAAAAATTTGATGATTTAAAAACGTGCAAACTTACGTGTGCATACAAGTTTCATTTCTATACAAGGTAAAAAGGTCGTATCGGTAAAAATTTAAGCAAAACCGAAGAAACCTTTACACAACATCAGTTAAAATAAAAAAAATAATCAAACAAAGGGAAATAAACTGAAATTTAATTCAGCAGTCTAATTTTTTACTTTAATGAGGCACATATAAGGGGGGGGGGCACATTTTAAGGCACTTTTTCACTTTTTTTCCTTTTTATCAAAGAAACGGTCCTTGCTTTCTCTGCAAGTTATCCCAACTTTCAATAAGTGGAACAATAATGATACAAAATCTCTCATTAACGATATAGTATCTTAGTTTTCTTCTTTAAAGAATGCTGACCTGCCTAGCCAGTAACAATATTGTTTTTTAAAATTACAGTGCGTAATATTGATTTTTTACCCCCGGCAATAGAGGTCAAGCTTCAAAATTTCCTGAACAAAAAATTAAAGAAAAGGATAGTGCCCCAGTCAAAATTGTACTTCAATTTACAATAAAGACTATAGAATTATTCGTAATTTTTTTTTTTTTTTTTTTTTTTTTTTTTTTTTTAGTGGACTTTTACTCAATTAAACTGACTAAATTAAAATACAGGACAAAATTTGTATAACGTAAGTTATTCGAATACTGATCATTGTTTTTAATTGGAAAACGATCCAATTGCACAATCCTTCTTACTTTAGGTTGTGAGAGCTTCACAGAGGAACACTTGAGTTGAGCAAGGTTCCTAGTCAAGTCTACGAAAGGTGAAAAGCATGCTGATTACCATTTTTGATAGCCCAGCAAATTGTTACAAAAAATGCTTCTATTGTCCTCAAGAAATTCGCTGATTGGCAGGTTTGACAGTTATGATTAGATTTGAGCTATTTGCAACCATCATGTCTGTAACCTGTAAGAGGAACACAACCAAAAATAGTCAGTAAGTGTGTAGTTATTACAGAAATTTAAGAAACAGTTTGGATGGGATACAAATGTTACAATGAATGTGCAGAGCACTCGCAAGGTGATTTGAGCTTTGAAAGTTGATTTAATGACTCAAAAAAACAACCAAACACTTGGGTGTTGACTAGCTCTTTTTCAGTTAAAAGTGAGCTAAATGTGATGAACTTTATTGATCTCAGAAGCAAAAAATATTCTCATTGAAGTTCAAATTTTAAGAATGAAAATAATTTTAATAGTTACAAGTAAGGAGCAGGACTTTACCTCGATGGTTCAAAATTAACACGTAATTACTTAGAATACATTTGGAAGGTTAGAAAAAGTTTGAGCCTAAAGCTGAATTAGAGCTGATGCCAAAGCATGAAATTTACACTTCACAAATTATTATCTATACTCGTAAATACCTGATCAAGTGTCTTTCCTGCTACTTCAATACCATTGACTTCAAGGACTTCATCATTGACAGCTAGTAGTCCAGTTGATTCCGCTAATCCACCTGGTACCAATCGTGAAATAAATATTCCAGGTACTTTCTCTAGTCCCACAGGAGTAACCTTCACTGAAGTACCGTCACGAATGTAAAAACCTAAAGGCCGCTCAGACCCATGCTTCAGAAGTTTTACTCTTCGACAAAATTCTGGCACAGAGTCAACATCGATAATTGCAGAAACCTGATTAACAATCAATGTACACATTTCGTTAACATAAATAGAACCTCAACAGTGTATATTTTACTTAAGAGTAAAGGCTGAGAGCGAAAGCTGAAAATTTCAAAAATAGTAAGAATCAAGTAACATGGAAAATTGCACAGAAAAGAAATTAAATAGATTGGTAAGGGAAAGTCTCCTCATGAGCAGACTGCAGTGGGTGATTTTAAAAACCCTTTTTTTAGGTTAAGTACTGCTGTACTGATTCTTTCTCAACAAACGAAATATGACACGAACACTCCAGGCAACAGAATACATCAACTGATGTTCTATTACTTGGCAGTATGAATGCATTAGGGCTTAGAGTTTATGCTAGTCTAAAAAACAAGATTTTTGAAATTGTCCTAAGGAATAGCAACTGCATTAGGCAAGATATATCTCCTTGCATCATTCATCTGTGATACAATGAATCATACTTACTTGTCGAAAATCATGAGGATTCGAGATCAGCAGATTTGATTTTGTTTTACCCTGAGTTCCTCCAAGGATTGATGAGATGAGATTCCGATGTTTCATGGTTCCATAGCCCTTGAATTCTTCTAAACTCTCTCCTAGGAAAGCAAAAAAAATTTCAAGAATAGATGAGCCAAATCTGTGATTAGACGGGAACAATGAATAATTGTGCCAAAATGACATTGATGAAGCACGTTCTTGGCGATTTTTTTTAACTCTAAACCAAGACAAAGTATTTCTGTAAATATTTATAAAAAGTAAAATCAAAGAATTCCGAGATTTTTGACAATTATAGGGGCCTCAAAGACAGAGGAAACTTGCCAGGAGACTCACGGTAGGCAGATAAAAATAAATGATAAATAAGTACCTACTGAAATATCACAGTAGTAATGAGAAATAAAGTAATTAATAAAACTTAGGAAGCAGCTGCAATAAAAAACAAAAGCGTTAGGAAATGAATGTTGAAAGTAATTGGCAGCACACAGCGCATGCTGTGTGCTGATAAGTGTAAGATATTACTTTAAATTCTCAGGCATTTTCTCTAATTTTCAGACTATTCTTCGACGCTCAAAAATTAAAAATATAGAATCTTTTCTCAAAATTTGGCAAACAGTTAGAGGCAACATACATCCTGCAATTTCGCCTTGTTTTAATTCTAAATTGTATGAGAAATGAGAATAGAAAAGTATTGAAAATTATGGATAATGGACTTTAGAGACTGGATACAAAATGTAAAAGAGTAAGCTTGTAAGAAACTTACCTTTACGTTGAATGATAACTCTGAGAAGAGGTTTAGCTTTTTGTAAGGCTATTCCTAAGTTATCATCATTATTCAAGGGTAACAAGTCTCCATCTTTTGGGTCAGTGTAAGAGACAACAAATGGTATATCACTTAAGTGATGCAGAGTTTCTAGCATTTCTCTAAAAGTTTCATACTTTTCAGATTTTGATAAGGAGAATCTCCGGAATTCTGCATCAAACTGTAAAGAAACAGATGTTTATTAAAAGCAAGCTTGGGCATATTTCCTGTTCTGATGATCATCTATTCTTAGTAGAATGTTCTTAAACTTGAATATCAGGTGGTCTATCTACCTAGTCTATTCAGTCAAAGAGTATAAGTTCTTCTGCACACCAAAATCACATTTTCTGGCAAGTTTTATACATTTTGACTACAAAGAGAAACATTTGCTTCAGCAAGCTCATTTTAGACCCATCGGAAAATTTTAAATATTCTGATTAAAACTGGTATCCGGTAAAACTTATCTGTACCTAAGGCGTTGGAATCAGTACGGCAGTTTGCTAAAGGTTCTGTAATTTATTTTAGCAAAATTTTTAGGTGGAGCAAGACGTTGCCACTCAAATCTAGGGCTGAACCTTCTTTTACCTCAGTTCGTCACTGATTACTTTTGATGATACCCTGTGGGTGTCCACTCAAGTGCACGGAGAAAATACAAAAGGGTGATGGCTATGCAGCCTCTTCCAGATATAGTCGTGAAGTAGAAACTTATAACCAGCCAATGAGAATGAAGATACATCCGTAAAGTTGAAATTGTCCTTAGACCCAACCCTAATCTGCATTTGCTCGCTGTGACGGCAACGCGGAAATTTGCACGTCTCCGCTCGTCAACACCTTCTTAATTTCTTTGATGACTCAAAAAGGATGTCCCACACAAAATACCTCTATAGAATGCAAAAATTTTGAGACCTCAGATTAGGAAATCTAAGGAAAGACTGTGTTAGCGGGTAGACAAATTTTCATAACCTGAAAAATACAGATCCAACTCCTTTACCTTGCTTTTCACTTCGACAACTGACAGGTTGTTTTCAAGACTTTGAAGGCTGGATTTGCTGTGAGAATTCCTTGCCATTTCCTACAAATACTTCATTTACACGGAGAAAACTGATTGATTAACAGTAAAACGGTGATACAGAAATTCACAATACATGCACACAAAAACTAAACAAATCTCAATGAGTCAGACTCAAGTGTAAAAGAAGACAAAATGATCACGCAGGGCAGGTACCGACGTGATGTATCTTTAACTCAAAGGAAAAAGGAGACTGAAAGGGTCACAAGTGTAAGAGTTAATTTTAAATTATAAAATAAAATTTAAAGGAAATCATTCAGTTCCTTTATAAATACACAATGCACAACAAACTGTTACTACGTCACAGAAAGGTTAGAATCCTTGTTGTGACGTAAACCGTTGAATCAGTCGTATGACGTCATCGATAGTAAATGGCATGACAACCGAAGACATGTAGGCAACATTGACAACATGAAAGCTCACTGATTTTGAGCTGATGGTTTCAGGTAAAGTTAATCGCTTTTGGCTTTATGTTCTGCCACTGTTCTATTTTACACACATAGGTCCTGCTAAAACTGATATAATGTTCATGTGAGGATATTCTTTTTCTGCTATTTTTTTATAAATAAAAATATAGTTAAAATTGAGACAAGTCTTTGATAAAAAAATAATGACTGCTATTGTTTTAAAATTTTTCAACATTTTTTGCAAACATTTTAACTATTGAAAAACTATACAAATGATGTTTGAAGATTTTTTTAACACTTTTTTACTTTAATTTTACCTAAAAAATATTCCCAAAAAGGGTTTCCTGAGACGAAAATTTCAATAGTTTTATGAAGAGTTTAGTTGCCCTTCGGGGTTTTTCGAGTTTTTTTTTCAATTTTTCTCTTTTTAACAGTCAATATTGCATACCATGTGCAACCATGAGTTTTCGCACACCGAGTTCTCATGACTAGGTATATTGGGTGTCCCGGGCCACCCACGCCAGGGTTTTTTCTCGCGCGGTTATAATAATCCAGATGAAATCGGAGACTGCATAGCCGACAGCCGAGTAGGAAACCGATCCCCCAAGGAATCCAAAATACATGGCCCGAAGAGGCCCCTCCAGTCCCCCTCGTGGAGTGGAAGGAGAGTTATGATTTTTAAAGTTAGTTTCCTTCATTATTTTTAAAAGTATTTCGTTTTATTTAAAAAGTACGGAAAATTTTACCTCAAATCAATAATGGAAAAAAAAACCCAAAATTGGCCCATTTTCGTTTGAAATATCGATCCGTAAAGGTAAAAGACAGGGCCTCCCTCGAAAAAATTCAAAATCGCCTAATTGACACACTTCGGCTGATTTATTTATATTTTTCTGTGTATCCCACTCATGAGACTAAAAATTGAAATTGAACCGGAATGTGGCTTTTAATTCAAGTGTCGATTAAATTCTAGACGACCGAGCTTTTCGCTCAGAATAACTAAATGNAAACAAATCTCAATGAGTCAGACTCAAGTGTAAAAGAAGACAAAATGATCACGCAGGGCAGGTACCAACGTGATGTATCTTTAACTCAAAGGAAAAAGGAGACTGAAAGGGTCACAAGTGTAAGAGTTAATTTTAAATTATAAAATAAAATTTAAAGGAAATCATTCAGTTCCTTTATAAATACACAATGCACAACAAACTGTTACTACGTCACAGAAAGGTTAGAATCCTTGTTGTGACGTAGACCGTTGAATCAGTCGTATGACGTCATCGATAGTAAATGGCATGACAACCGAAGACATGTAGGCAACATTGACAACATGAAAGCTCACTGATTTTGAGCTGATAGTTTCAGGTAAAGTTAATCGCTTTTGGCTTTATGTTCTGCCACTGTTCTATTTTACACACACAGGTCCTGCTAAAACTGATATAATGTTCATGTGAGGATATTCTTTTTCTGCTATTTTTTTATAATTAAAAATATAGTTAAAATTGAGACAAGTCTTTGATAAAAAATAATGACTGCTATTTGTTTTAAAATTTTTCAACATTTTTTGCAAACATTTTAAATATTGAAAAACTATACAAATGATGTTTGAAGATTTTTTTAACACTTTTTTACTTTAATTTTACCTAAAAAATATCCCCAAAAAGGGTTTCCTGAGACGAAAATTTTAATAGTTTTATGAAGAGTTTAGTTGCCCTTCGGGATTTTTCGAGTTTTTTTTCAATTTTTCTCTTTTTAACAGTCAATATTGCATACCATGTGCAACCATGATTTTTCGCACACTGAGTTCTCATGACTAGGTATATTGGGTGTCCCCGACCACCCACGCCAGTGTTTTTTCTCGCGCGGTTATAATAATCCAGATGAAATCGGAGACTGCATAGCCGACAATCGAGTAGGAAACCGACCCCTCAAGGAATCCAAAATACATGACCCGAAGAGGCCCCTCCAGTCCCCCTCGTGAAGTGGAAGGGGAGTTATGATTTTTAAAGTTAGTTTCCTTCATTATTTTTAAAAGTATTCCGTTTTATTTAAAAAGTACGGAAAATTTTACCTCAAATCAATAATGGAAATTAAAACCCAAAATCGGCCCACTTTCGTTTGAAATATCGATCCGTAAAGGTAGAAGACAGGGCCTCCCTCGAAAAAATTCAAAATCGCCTAATTGACACACTTCGGCTGATTTATTTATATTTTTCTGTGTATCCCACTCACGAGACTAAGAATTGAAATTAAACCGGAATGTGGCTTTTAATTCAAGTGTCGATTAAATTCTAGATGACCGAGCTTTTCGCTCAGAACAACTAAATGTTATACATTTTATAAAAAATTCATCGTAATCGCCCATTGTGTGAACGTGGTTAATAAAACAGGATGTCAAATTTAAAAGTGCAAACTGTAGCATTCGTCAGTTTTATTAGGGGCGTTTTTCTCTCTTTTCAGTTTTAGGTTGAAAGACTCAGACAGAAAAAAATGGTAAGGCAAGTTGTCTACGAAGAAATGTTTTATCCGATAAAGCAAGTTTTCAACATTGCTGGCGTACCAACGCCAACGGTGGACCTCTATGCGATCTCTCTCGGAGACTTTAATGCTAGGACAGAAAGATAGACGTGTGCCAAATCTAACACTGATAAAAATATTTGTGTTCTTGTATTACAATTGGTTAATCGTGAAACAAAAACCAAAACAAATTTTGTGTTGATTTTGGTACTTTTGCGGTGAATTTAGCGTAGAAAAACAACAAAGAGACTAGGAAAATGCACGCACCTTTTCGATTGCGACGTCGGTAGATACCGATCGTTCTTTATGAAACCTAGAAAACTGCTGGCATTTCCTCTTAAAATTGCCAACTGATGGCTAGGGTTATTTCGTGTGTTACTTCCCGTATGAACCAAACTTCTGCGTTGAATATTCTCTCTGTGTAGGAGTTTACTGCAAGCAGCATTCAAAATTTTGGTCCCCTCTTTTGCCTGCGCACAAATGAACGATCTGTATGTGACTCCGTGAGAACGCGGAGAGTTTAACGCTAGGGTAGAAAAATAGACGGATAAAACCTCAGGAGTTAACTGCGATGGAGATTCAACATTTCGGCCATTTCTTTTGCCCGCGTGCAAAACGAGGATCTTTTAGTGCCTCGTCTAAAATGTGGCGACGTCTGAAGCCTCACACGGCGTTTTCTTTTAGCACGGCACACAGTGGATCGAGTCTAATTGAAGAGGTTGGACATGAAAAGTTTGACTAAAAATTTAAAATTTGATTTTATTTTGTCACATTTAAAATTTCAATGGGTGCTATTGATAGAAAATTTCACGAGGAAACCAATAGAGCCACTTTTCGAACCTCAAACTGTTGTATAAACGGAGTTATAAGTGTTTAAAGTTTCAAAATTTGGTCCGACCTCTCCTATTGACTTGATCCGCTGTGCGGCAGTTAACCGAAATGCGGTCCGATTCTAGATTTCTTGGTGTATCGATTGCGGTAAAATTTACCGTAATTTCTGAATTTGATATAATAATTTCACAATTTTGAAGGGAACCCTAACTTTTGAAATCAGCACCTCCCTTTAATCCTACAAAGGGCNGGGGGGGGGGGGGGGGGGAGGCTTGGGACTATATGAAATTCTGATTCCTTGGGGTCGGATCTTTATTCTCTCCGTGACTTCATCCGACCGAAAATAACCCAGAAACAAGCCTGTTACGGGGTGGTCTAGGACACTCTGTGCCATAAAACCGATGTAATCAGATTGTAACGACTTATTCATTAGGTAGATGATGAGCGCTCGTTTTGTATATAAGAGTTGCGTATGTTAAAGTTGAGGTTTTCCGAGTTTCTCGAGAAAGGACCTCTGAGGTCCCTTCAACGACCCTCTCAAAAATGGACGTATTTCTGCCAAACGGAACTAAGCGCCATAGGGGGAGGAAGGTAGAGGGGGACTTTGATTGGCGGCGGAATCGGGCGTCGGGCTCATTCCGTCCTATACTCGCAATGCTTTTCCATGGCGCTTAGTTCCGTTTGACAGAACGCGCTATCCGGCATTCTAAATTCCTCAAAAGGAACTCAGATCGGCGCTTAGTTACGTTTGACAGAAATACGTCCAAATAAGCGCCTACCCCTGCCAAATGACCGGGCATTTGTGAAACTTTGCACTTGCGATGCGACGTCATGAGCGCAAGAAAATTCTAAGCGCCTTAGGATATTGAGAATATGCAACACGGACAGCAACAAGGTGGGTATAGTTGTATCCGTCCAGGCGGTGTAGACAGAGCGGTCCCCGCTTTCTTCGACTGAATTTTAAAAAGCATATTTTTAAAAATTCTTTGCGGAGACGTGGTGTATGATTTACTTTGGATACAACTTGGAGCGATTTCAGAGACAAAGCAATTTGCACGTAAGTCCCTATTACTTTAACTCACCTTTCCTAAAACTGCCACCCTGTAAACCCTCTGCCCGGGAGTCATCACGGCCCCTCTTCCCAAGTAGGTAGCATTTTTCCACGCGAAAAATTGCTATGTTTTAAATCTAAATTGCGATTTTTTGGATATGAGATCGATAGGATCATCATCATCATCATCTGAGCGATTATCCTCAATCTTGTCGCAGTTTCGTCTCTCTTAAATCGCGTTTGATAAAATCGCGATATAATTGCGAATATATGCGATTATATCGCAATTCAACTAATTTTCATATCCGATAATATTGCAATAGACCGACGTTGGTACGGTCGCGATATATTCTCTAATCAAACCACAACTTATCGCGATCACTGCTACTTGGCCAGGTCTAACCTGACATGAAACTTCATAACATCGAATTGACGATGTGCGATGTTTTTCAAATATGAAACCCGGGTCATTTTTATTTGCTGTAGGTATCCTCCATGAACTTGCACT